TGGTATTCATGCACATATTTTTCAGCCGCCTTGTGGTCCGAACTGGAGCCTCACCATGCCTTACCACACTGTTATGCCAGTACGGTTCTTAAATCTCTCAAACCAGCCTTTGCTGGCCTTAAATTCACTCACCCTTTACCCTATTTGCAGGCAAATTTTTTTCCAAATCTTCGTGCAACTGCTTAGCCTTTTCACAAATAAACGAGTCATAAGAGTATTCTCTGCTAATGGTTTCTCTTTATCCACACCCAAAATTAACTTCTCAATGTCTTCCAGTACTGGGGATCTCATTTTTGTCGCATAGTTTACTCCCTTTGCAACAACAGCATCCTTTATTTCATTTTCTTGGCCACTATGGAACATAAAGGTTGTGTAGGGTTTCTTATACATCCTGGACAGTTCGGCCACACTTGTACCCCCATTCATATTGTTCAATGATGGTTTTCTTAAATTCAATCGTATTTCCTCACCTTCTTTTTCCACAGGCTTGGCACTAGGGCTTTCTTTGGGCAATGGTAGCCTATTTAGTACTTGCAAGCACTAAAATAAATGGAATATTATGAAATATTTCGCTGGAGCACGTGAGGGGACCTTCGCTCACTGGTAAACAATGCCAGACTGGCTGCCGCCCCGGCTCACGCCGTGGGTATGCGTCCCGGACGAACTACGACTCGCGAGTCAACCTATGAAAAGCGAGTCCATGTTTATACGAAAATACCCCTATGATTGGCGAATTTTACGATTGCCGGGAACTACGAAAAGCGGGGGACCACTGTATCTGAAAACATTCACTTCTTCCATACTCCTCCTCCCCAATTTGATATCCAATTTTTCTTTATCTAAATCATTTGATACTCTCATCACTTTACTCTTTTCTATGTTCGCTTTCAATTTTCTACCTTTACTTGAGTCCTGGAGATGGGAAGTACAGTGCCTGCACTCTGAAGGAGGGGTGTTAATGTTGCAGTTTAAAAACTGTAGTGTAAAGCACCCTTCTGGCAAGACAGTGATGGAGTGAATGATGGTGAAAGTTTTTCTTTTTCGGGCCACCCTGCCTTGGTGGGAATCGGCCAGTGTGATAATAATAAAAAATAATAACACACATTCCCAAACTCATCCACTAACCTTTGCAATTTTTAGAATCTCCCATAAGCACAGTATCATCAGCAAAAAGTAACTTGTGTCAATTCCCATTTTGAATTTGATTCCCCATAATTTAATCCCACCCCTCTCCCGAACACCCTAGCATTTACTTCTTTTACAACCCCATCTATAAATATATTAAACTACCATGGTGACATTACACATCCTGTCTAAGACCTACTTTTACCGGAAGTAGTCTCCTCTCTTCTACACACTCTAACCTGAGCCTCACTTCCTCATAAACTCTTTACAGCATTTAGTAACTTACCACCTATTCCAGATACTACTTGGGAACATCTGCCACATTGCTCCTCTATCCACTCTATCATATGCCTTTTCTAAATCCATAATGCAAAAAAACTTCCCTACCTTTATCTAAATACTGTTCACACTATGCTTCAATGTAAAACATTGATCTTACATCCCCACCCCCTCTGAAACCTCCTTGCTCATCCGCAATCCTGCATTCTGTCTTACCTCTAATTCTTTTCAATTAAAAAACCCTACCGTTCACTTTTCCCGGTATATTAAAGTAAACTTATTCCTCTATATTTTACAATCTCTTTTGTCCTCTTTCCCTTTAATAAAGGGACTATACATGCTCTCTGCCAATCCCTACGTACCTTCCCCTCTTTCATACATTTATTAAACAAAAATACCAAACACTCCAAAACCAAAAATTTTCCCCCCCCCCTGTTTCCCAACTTTTTCTGTCATGACCCACAGTTCCGGGCTTTTTTAAACCCCCTTTTATTCTGCATAATGCCTCACAAACCCCCCCAACTTGAAATTCGGGCTCTTCTACCCCCCTAAAAATGGTTACCTCCCGGGACCGGGTGGATAAAATTTTACCCCTCCCTTTTTTCCAAAACTTTAAAATTTCCTCAAAATTTTTCCCCCACAAACCTAATACCCCCTTTTTTCCCCATCTAAAACTCCCCAAATCTTTTTTTTAACTGAAAAATTTCCATATTTTCCCCGGGCTTTCTTAACTTTTTTAAAACCCCAACTCCAAAATTTTTTTTATTTTCTTTAAAAATTTTTTGGCCATGCCTCCCCCTTCTATTCATTGCCCCCTTTTTTCCACCTCTCATCCCTCCTTTCACCTTTCTTTTACCCCCCATTACTCTGCCTTCTTATAACACTTCTGCTTTGTAAAAACCTCTCATAAGCTACCTTTTTCTCTTTTATCACACCCTTTACTTTATCATTCCACCCGTCCTCCTCTTTCCCCTGCCCCCACCCTCCCAAAAACCAGCTTAAATTAAAAACCCCCAAAAAATTGTGCCCCCCTTTTTAAAAAAAGCATTTTTAAAACAATTTTCCCAAACCCCCCTTCCCCCCCCCCCCCCCCCCCCACTATCTCTTTGCACAACCCCCCCTTTTTGCCCAAAGATCGCTTATATCTCACCCCAAAAACCCCCTCCCCTTTTTTTTAAACCTTCCTCCCTCTTATTGTTGTTTTCCCCCTTCCTCTTGTCCCTCTACCTCTTTCTCTAAGTTGCTACAAAATAAAAAATTTATCCAAAAAATCAAATTGCCCCTCTATAAACATGTTTCATCCTGGGGGCGTACCCTTTAACCCTTTTTTTGCACCAAAAATAATCAACAAACTACTTTCCCTTACGTTTCAAAATTTTTACCTTTTTTTCTTTTTACCCTTTTTAAAAAAAATATTTATTACTTTTTTACCCAAAACTCTTTCTTACATAGCTAATTAAAGGGTCCCCATTTACATTTACCCTGGCCCCCCAAATTTCCTAAAACCCCTCCATAACATTTTTACCCACTTTAGTATGAAATCCCCAACCACCATTACTCTTCCTCTTAATTCAAAACTTCCCACGCATTACTAAAACTTTTCCCAAAAAATCTCTCTCTCTCCTCACACCTCTCTTTCTCCGGGTGCTACATGTTTCATAACCCATTTCACCCAATCTTTTTTTACTCCACAAAATCCTTGAATTAATACATTTATAGCCTTTTTTCCTGCAAGCTTACCCTTCAACATTTTTTTTTACTCCTTTTTTTACTCTAACTCTTTTTTGAAATCCCTGACCAAACCCCATTTATTCCTCTCCATTGAAACTCCCCACCCCATTCACTTTGTTTCCTTACGCCGGGACATCCACTTCTTCTCATTTTAAAACATCCACTTTTATTCTTTTTTGTCATTTGCAAAACACCACGCAGTTTAAGACTTCCCCCATTTTAAAATTTTCTTCTTTTTATTCTTTTTGAAATTTTACGGGAAAAGGGGGTTACTAGGCCTTTTTTTCCCAGTTTTTAGTTGACTTTTACAACCGCAGGGGTTTTGGGAGGAAAGTTCTTATTCCACTTCCCCGGAAATAAAAGGAAAAGTCATAAGCCCAAAACTTAAGTAAAATAAAAAGAAAACCAGATGAGTGTGTATAAATAAGTGTACATGTATGTGTGTGTGACCAAGTGTAGTAGAAGTAGCAAAACATCCCTGAACTTGCATGTTTAGGACAGACAAAAGACACCAGAAACCCTACCAATGTAAAAAAATTTACAGGCTTTCGTTTTACCCCCCTTTGCAGGACGGTAGTACCCCCCTGGGGGTTGCTGTTTCCCAAACCCTCACCTATGAAAAACTTTTGTTATGTAAATATTTTACTTTTTTTTCGTGTTTTTTGATTTTTCAGGGTTCAACATTTAAGGAAGCATTTTTTTATTATATTTCCCAACAATATATTGGGGCACCAAACTTCATGATTTTTTCAACTTTCAAGGCCTTGATCCCCCAACCCTTGCAAGTTGAGGGGGGACCCGTACTTAAGTGTTTATTCTTTTGAGTTAATAAAGTCATTTATTATTTGTTCTAAATTTGAATAGTAATATGTCACTTGTATAGATCCCGCCCAAAATTGCTTTTTGAGCATTGTTTCTTAGTGCTGAATGCAAGCTGGCCCCCAGATATGTTAAACAGACACCAGGGGCAAGCAAGCCTCCGAGTAGTGTTTTTCAAGGGCTTGGACATCCCCGGGATGTGGAGCTGTTTAAATTAAAAGGATTTAAACAATGATTTTTTTGGTTGATGAGCGTTTAAGTGTGAAGGTAAATGTTGCAAGGATCAGGGAAAACCCTCAAAGGGACTTGATCCTGGAGGGGGAAGTACAGTGCCTGTGCTTTAAAAGGAGGGAGTTTGAAATGTTTGCTGTTAAGAGTGAAAATAACCTGTCGTATCTGCCCCTCTGAGAAAACAGTGATTTTTGTAAATGGTGAAAGTGTTATTTTCGGATCACCTCCCCCGGGGGGAGACGCCAGTTATTAAAAAAAAAAGAACATAATTTATGTGATACTTTTGTGATGTTTTTCTAAGTCTAATGGTTGGGGTTTAATTGTGTGATGGAGGGGAAATTTTTTGAAATCCTAAAGCCATGAATTTTTTCCAAAAAGCTTTTTTCAGTTTTTTTTTGGGAAATACCCCAGCAAAATATGTTGTTCACAATTAGTTTTCAAAGACAGTGTTTTGGGGCCCCCACAACTTTACAAATTTGAACGAGGTTCAGGTGGTGAAAAAGATTTCTTTTTCTCCAATTCATTTTAGTTGAGATTGCTTTATCCATAGTATTGTGACTTTTATTTTTTAAGGTTCTGTATGTAGTAATGATTATACAATATGTAATTTGCTGAATTAGACATGTCTTAATTAAGTCCCGGGAAAAAAAAATTTTTACGTACAAGTGCCTACCCAAGTAGTGCTTGGTGTTACAAAAAGTCTGGCACAGTAGTGTTTGTAGTTCTGCAATATTCTTTCAGAAGTTGTGTGTGGAATGTATATATGATACTATATTGGATTATATGTGATAAAGTTTGCTTATTTTTCTATGTAGAGCCATGAGTCTCGTTTGGCGGACATGGCCGAGGAGCGGACTCGAAGACAAGAAGAAAAAGCTGCTAAAGAAGTTGCAGCTCAAGAGAGACGTAAAGCACTTGAGGCAGAAAGACAGGTAAGAATGTCAGTAATATACGTACAGACTCTCCTCACTTAGTGACGTGCACTCTGTGCTGCAGGATTTTTTTTATACTGTGCACACTGACCACATAGACCCATTCTTTCATATGTAGGCCTACCAGCTTTCTCTCACTAGATTTGAAGGCGCTAGAACTTAGGCATTCTAGTATGTAAATAACCCTGGTGCGTAAGCCATACTAGTACAGTGGACCCCCGCATAACGATGGCATCACATAGCGATTTTTCCGCATACCGATTACTTTTATCGCAAAATTTTTGCCGCGCATACCGATTAAAAACCCGCTTACCGATTTTCGTCCGAGACGCGTCCAATGTGCCCTCAGCCAGCCTCACATGTGCCGGCCGTCCCATTGTTTACCAGCCAGCCTCCGCGGTAACATCCAAGCATACACTCGGAATATTTCGTATTATTACAGTGTTTTCGGTGCTGTTTCTGGAAATTAAGTGACCATGGGCCCCAAGAAAGCTTCTAGTGCCAACCCTGTGGTAAAAAGGGTGAGAATTAGTATGGAAATTAAGAAAGATTTTGAAGGGTTTGGGGCTAACCCTGAGAAGCCTATGCCAGTTGTGGAATCCATTGTGCCTACTTCAAAGATTAAGGAAATGTGTGCACAGTGGGTTGAACTGCAAACCTTTATAGATGAAAATCACCCTGACACAGCTGTTGCAAGCCGTGCTGGTGACTATTTCAATGACAATGTTGTGGCCCATTTTAGACAAATCGTAAAGGAACGGAGGTACAGAGCTCTATGGACAGATTTGTTGTGCGACAGAGGTCCAGTGACTCTCAAGCTGGTCCTAGTGGCATTAAAAGAAGAAGGGAAGTAACCCCGGAAAAGGACTTGCTACCTCAAGTCGTAATGGAAGGGGATTCCCCTTCTAAACAGTAAGAAGATAATGCTCTCCCCTCCTCCCATCCCATCAATCATCACCAGATCTTCAATAAAAGTAAGTGTCATGTAATTGTGCATGCCTTTTTCAGTTTGTGTGTATTAAAATTAACATTTCATGTGGTAAAAAAAAATTTTTTTCATACTTTTGGGCGTCTTGCACGGATTAATTTTATTTCCATTATTTCTTATGGGGAAAATTCATTCGCATAACGATTATTTCGCATAACAATTATCCCTCTTGCACGGATTAAAATCGTTAACCGGGGGTCCACTGTACGTCGGAAACCCTGAAAGGGTTAATTGCTGCTGAAGAAGGCACATTCTCCCCTCTCTCTTCCTCCTCCTTTGAAGCAGTTTCTTAAGCTAAGGTCTGTTGCTGTTCCAGATGCAGGTCTTGCAGCTCTTCACTGGTTAGCTCTTCCCTGTGGTTTTCCACCAACTCTTCCACATCCTGGCCACTCACCTCCAACCCCATGGACTTCCCCAAAGACACAGTAGATTCCACAACCGGTGTAGGGTCGTCATGGTCAGCCTCAAACCTTTCAAAATCCTTCTTGAGGACACATTCTGGCTACAGTTTTCTCCAAGAAGGTTAATCGTCCGGGAAAGTCACTCCCTGCCACGCCCGTGCATATTTTTCTACAAGTTCTTTTCTTAAATTTTCTATCATGTTTCTCACCACCTTTACCAAAGAGCTGGCACTCGGAATTTCTTTGCTCCTTGGTGGGTTATTTAGCAGTTGCAAGCACAAAAAATGGATTATTTTGAAATGTTTCAGAAAAACTCTCGGAGAAATGCTAACTAAATGAGTAACAATGGCAGACTGAGTCACAAACATATGAGCCGCATCTCGCAACCAGGCGAATGCATCTGGTACAGATGATTTCTGAGTGGATGTACAAAAATGGGGAAAATTTTGCTGAAAAAGTGGTTGAAAACTGAATTGTACAATAACCAGACTAGACGAAAACCTGGGGTTCCACTGTAATAAAATGGTCTACTGTATACTAAAAATGTTATAAATGGTGCAGAGGTGATATTAAAACAATAACAAACCCAGTACCATTATAGCATGCTCCTTGCTTAGCAATAAATTCGTTTACTGACGTGGTCTTAGGAACGGAACTCTGTTGTTAAGTGAGGAGAGGCTGTACTTAAGCATTTGTCTTCAGAGTCAAACATGCTGCATCACCAGTAAGAATAAGAGTACCAGCTTGAAAATCATGCATAAGAAATACTGCTGAATTCACAGTGGTTAACAGAGGGTGAATTTTACAAGTTTGTTTAGGTGCCTCTATGTTGCTTCGGCAATTTTGATTCTTCAAAGGGGTGCCTTGTTGATGGTGAAAGGCATTGAAGTTATCCTTCCCTTCCTCTGATCAAACCTGATTGCCTCCCATTTCCCAGGTGCATCTCCCCATGACTATAATAATAATAATTGGCAATGTTGACTCATGGTATGAAAGTTCCACCAGCCTGACTTTATTGGTAGTCATTAGGAAAGCATGGCCCCAGACCAGTCTCAAAGCTAGATATCAGTTTTGCCTATAAGCAGTTCAGGTAAATATGTCATTATATTTGGTATTGTATTACAATAGGCTCGAATGGCAGAACTGTGTGAGAAGAGACGTCGACGTTGTGAACGTATTGATCGGCAGCAAGCAGAAAGACGTGAAGAACTTCTAGAACAAGCCCGAGAAAAAGCTCGAGACCGTGAGGAAAGACTCTCAGCGCTGCAGCAGGTTTGTCTACACACACATCTTCATACAGTATACAGTAGTGACATTAAATCACGAAATAAAATAATTATGTAGAATTTTCTTTAAATAAATGATTCAGTTAGGAGCTTTATCTTTAAAATATTAATTTTCCCTTCTGTAAATAATTAAAGGATTTAGTTTGTTTATTAGTTTCTTCATCTTCTCACATACTCTGCAATATCTTCTAGATATCTGAATGTTTAACTTCTTGTTCAACCTATGCTGTCTCTTACTTCAGTTTCAAGATGAGAACATTAGGGAGCATTGAAAAAATACAAACTTTAGAGATGCAAGCTGCAATTTTCAGGCATTACAGTAGAGCCCCGCTTTACAGCATTTCACCTTGTGGCGTTCCGCTAGTACAGCGATTTCAAATTATGACCAAACTTGTTATATGGCTAGCGGTCTTCCTTTATGTGTACTCTGATAATTATGCTTATGTGTACCTGTACCTAAATATACTTAAAAACCTCTGCTCACATGCGGGTTACACTTTAAAAAATCACTAGAGTCTCTCTACTCTTGACGCCCTATTTTACTCTCTTGGGTGCATTAAATCTCGTATATTATGTTAATATAGACATTTCCATTAATCATCTATGATATTCTTTTCAAAATTATGTATAAACACGTTACTTTAAAAATATATCATGATACATCCACCCACAGTATAAAAATTGAATAAATATGAGTTTTGTTTACAAGTGGTTTGTGAGAGTGTCGGAAGAATTACGTTCTTCTCTAGTCAAACACCAGTTATTTAACTGTAGAAAATTTTTCCCTTTCATTATGCCTTCACTCTCCCTATAGCTATTCACGACTCTTGTGGGTTTAGCGCTTCTTTTTTATTATAATTATAATAAAAATTTATCATCATTCACTCTAAAAATGGTGTTTTTTGCATGAGAAGGGGGAGTGTTGCTGTTTATTTATTCTGTACTACCTTGTCAGAGCATCATTCCTTCAAAAAATTTGATGTTACATGAAAATGGAAGTGTTGGTCTTTATTTATTCTACTGTACCACTTGGAGACAACTTGAACACACTGTAAGGCATTTGTATGAAATGTATGAACCAAAACCCAGTTTACTTCGTCCATGTGTTTACATTAGAAATCTGCGTGGGTGGGGTTGCAAGGCGGTTTACCATACCTCCCACACCTGACTACAAATAAATACTTTTCACTCTCCCCCCTACATTGAGGCCATTAAGACTACAAATATTTTAAGGTGAGTAATGGTGTATTGTATATGCATTTTACATTTTATCACTCTAGGGTGCTTTAACCTTTGACTGTTTCATCGTATATATACGTCTTACGAGTCACCGTGTTTGACGTATATATACTCATAAATTTAGGTGCTTCAATCAAGCAGGAGTAAGCTGGTAGGCCACATGTGAGAGAATGGGCCTGTGTGGTCAGTGAGCACCATAAAAAAAAACCCTGCAGCATGCAGTGCATAATGAGAAAAAAAAACTCCAACCATTTTTTTTAATTAAAATGTTGACTTTGTGGTCTATTTTCGTATAGTATTTATGGTTATATTCTCGTTTTCTTGGTCTCATTTGATAGAATGGAAAAACATATTATAGAATAGAGGTGATTTTGTTTGGTTTTACTATGAAAAAAAACCTTCTAATATTCTAATATGCAGTCAATGAATGGGTTGACATTATTTATACAATTTAAATTACAATATTGCAGTAGTGGGCCCATAACGTAAACCCTCTTTTTTTTGTTTGAACAAAAAATTCAAAGTAGAAAGTAAGAGTAATATCAGAGGGGCCTGGAGACATGCTGATGAACAAAGAAAATGTTATTTTAGAGCAGGATGTCTGTATTGTTCATTCTGGACCCTATTTTGAAGTTGTCATATTTTTTAATTTTCGTGAAATTGGCAAATTGCGAAAGTCAAGGGTTTTAAGTATATTATGTGTGGGTGGGGGGGCCAGGAGGGCTACACACCTGACTTCTTACAATAAATATGCTCACGTTTGCCCTACATTAAGACTACAAATATTTTGAGGTAATAATGAGTGTATTGTGTGTGTATTTTACTTCTTATTGTTTTTTAATGCCCAGTTTTATTACTAACCATATGTTGTGTAAACTTGTTCCTGGCATTTATATGTATTTATAAGTGGAAGAAAAATGGCATTCTGCTTTCCCGGTGATGTGTGCTTTGTGGTGGTAGCCCGGAACCTAACCCGCTATAAGTGGGGCCTTACTGTACTTGTATGGTCACAGCAAACTTCTGTGCAAAATTTCCCGGCCATTTCATGCCAATTTACCCTGCAGCATCTCGATCGACTTTTCGTTTAAATATACACCATTTAAAGAAATTAGTTATAATTTATTGGTTGTAGGATAATAATCAAGTGTACATGGTAGGTACATTGTTTGGTAGTAGGTTGTAGACAGCAACCACCCAGGGGGGGTACTACTGTCCTGCCAAGTGAGTTTTGAAACGGAAAAACTGTAATTGTTTTACATGGTGGTTGGGTTGCTGGTGTCTTTTGTCTGTCTCATTAAACATGCAAGATTACAGGTATGTCTTGCTACTTTACTTACCTTAGGACACTATACATACATGTTGTATATGTTTATGTATTTCACACTCATCTGAGTTTTCTTTGATTTTATCTTAATAGTTCTTGGTCTTATTACTTTTCCTTTTATATCCATGGGGAAGTGGAATAAGAATCTTTCCTCCATAAGCCCTGCGTGTTGTAAAAGTCAACTAAAATGCTGGGAACACTGGGCTAGTAAACCCCTTTTCCTGTAATAATTACGAAAAAGAATAAGAAGGGAAAAATTTTCAAAGTGGAAAGTCTGAATGTGCGTGGATGTTGTGCAAATGTAAGAAAGAGATGATTGTGGTGTTTATGAATGAGAAGAAGCTGGATGTCCTGGCTGGGAAGTGAAACAAAACTGAAGGGGGTGGGGAGTTTCAGTGGAGAGGAATAAAATGGGATTAGGTCGGGGGTTTTAAATAGAGGGTTTGAGCTAAAGAAGGAGTAGCAATAATGGTTTTTAAGGATATGTTATGGCAGGAAAGAGGGACTATAATGTATTAATTCAAAGGGTTATGTGGAGTTAAAATAAAGGATGGATGTGAAAAAAATGGGTTATAGTAAGTGTATATGCACCTGGAGAAGAGAGAAGTGTAGAGGGAGAGAGAGATTTTGGGGAAAAGTTGGTGAATGCATGGGGAGTTTTGAACCCAAATGTGAGAGTAATGGTGGTTGGGGATTTCAATGCTAAAGTGGGCAAAAATGTTGTGGAGGGAGTAGTAGGTAAATTTGGGGTTTCCAAGGGTAATTTAAATTGGGGGGGCCTTTAATTGGCTATATGTAGAAAGAGGTTTGGTAATAAGTAATAGATTTTTATGAAAAAGAGGATAAATAAAATTTTCAAGGTATGATATAGCACGTAATGAAAGTGTTTGTTAGATTATGTATTGGTGGATAAAAGGTTGATGGAGAGGCTCCAGGATGTACATGTTCATAGAGGGGCAACTGATATATCGGATCTTTATTTAGTTGTAGCTACAGTTAGAGTAAAAAGGTGGATGGGAAAAGAGGAAAATGGCAACAACAAGCAAGAGGGAGGTGAAAGTATATAAACTAAGGGAGGGGAAGTTGGGTGGATACAAGCAAATATTGGCAGAAAGGGGTGGGCTAGTGCAAAGATGAGTAGTGGGGGAGGGGTTGAAGAGGGTTGGAAATAGTTTTAAAAATGCAGGGATTAGAATGTGGGGAGAAGTTTGTGGTTATAGGAGGGAAAAAGGAGTAATTGGTGGAATGATGAAGTAAAGGGTGTGATAAAAAAGAAAAAGTTAGCTTATGAGAGGTTTTTACAAAGTAGAAGTGTTATAAGAAGAGTAGAGTATATGGAGAGTAAAAGAAAGGTGAAAAGAATGGTGAGAGAGTGCAAAAGGAGAGCAGATGATAGAATGGAAGAGGCACTGTCAAGGAATTTTAATGAAAATAAGAAAAAATTTGGAGTGAATTAAACAAGTTAAGAAAGTCTAGAGAACGAATGGATTTGTCAGTTAAAAACAGAGTAGGGGAGTTAGTAGATGGAGAGATGGAGGTTTTGGGTAGATGGCGAGAATATTTTGAGGAACTTTTAAATGTCGACGAAGAAAGGGAAGTGGTAATTTCATGCACTGGTCAAGGAGGTATACCATATTCTAGGAGTGAAGAAGAACAGGATGTGAGTGTGGGGGAGGTGCATGAGGCATTACATAGAATGAAAAGGGGTAAAGCAGCTGGAACTGATGGGATCATGACAGAAATGTTAAAAGCAGGGGGGATATAGTGTTGGAGTGGTTGGTATTTTTGTTTTAATAAATGTATGAAATGTATGAAATGGGGGAAATAAATGGGATTAAATCTGGAGTATCTGAGAGAGTTAGAGCAAAGGAAGGGGTAGCAGTAATGTTAAATGATCAGTTATGGAAGGAGAAAAGAGAATATGAATGTGTAAATTCAAGAATTATGTGGATTAAAGTAAAGGTTGGATGCGAGAAGTGGGTCATAATAAGCGTGTATGCACCTGGAGAAGAGAGGAATGCAGAGGAGAGAGAGAGATTTTGGGAGATGTTAAGTGAATGTATAGGAGCCTTTGAACCAAGTGAGAGAGTAATTGTGGTAGGGGGACTTGAATGCTAAAGTAGGAGAAACTTTTAGAGAGGGTGTGGTAGGTAAGTTTGGGGTGCCAGGTGTAAATGATAATGGGAGCCCTTTGATTGAACTTTGTATAGAAAGGGGTTTAGTTATAGGTAATACATATTTTAAGAAAAAGAGGATAAATAAGTATACACGATATGATGTAGGGCGAAATGACAGTAGTTTGTTGGATTATGTATTGGTAGATAAAAGACTGTTGAGTAGACTTCAGGATGTACATGTTTATAGAGGGGCCACAGATATATCAGATCACTTTCTAGTTGTAGCTACACTGAGAGTAAAAGGTA